GAGAGGTGGGGAGGGGGGGGGGGGGGGGGAGGCGGTTGCTGAGTGTGTGCAGGGTTGCCAGGTGTCTGGTATTTTCACCTCCTGGCAGGAAAAAAAAAATCGGAAAATTTTAGGTGTCCGGTATTTTCTGAATTTTTTTACCGGATATGGGACAAAAATACCGGACAGTCAAGGTCAACATCAGACACCTAAAAATGTGCAGCCTCAACTGAAACAGTGTAGTTTGGAAATAAAGTCCATAATACAGATGAGTGCCTTGTGTGCACCCCTCCTGCACCCCAACTCCCTGCCGCAGATCACCACCCAAACTTTCTGCACTTCCCCCCACAGTCATAACTCCCTCCCAGACCTTGCACCCCCTCCCCCAGGCCAGAATCCTCTCCTGCACCCAGACACCTTCCCGGACTCTGCACCTCAATCCCCTGTCCCAAGTCACCACCCTCTGCAGTCTGCACCCCCTTTTCCCCTTCTCCCAGGTCACAGCTCCCTCTCAGACTTTGCCCCCCGTCCTAATGCCCCTCCCCCAGGTCAGAATCCTCTCCTGCACCCAGACCCCCTCCCTGACCCTACAACTCAATCTCTTGACCCAGGTCACAACCCCCTCCTTTGCCCAAACTCCCTCTCAGACCTCACACCATCTCCTTCACCCCAGTTCCTTACCCCATGCACCCTTCTGCACCTAACCTCCATCCTAGACCCCGCACCCCCTCCACAGAAAAGTGTGGCCCTTGACCACTTTCCAAAATCTTGGAGTGGCCCCTCCCCAAAAATTATTGCCCATCCCTGACCAAGATATTGGATGTTTAAAAATACCAAATTTTTGGAAATTAAATACCAAACTCTCCAACACTGAAAAAGACCATCTGGTGTGCTTAGATTAAAGAAAGCACACAAGGCACTCATCTGCATTATGGACTTTATTTCCAAACTGCACTGTTTCAGTTGAGTCTGCAAAATATGTACATGCCGGCACTACTTCTGCAAATATACACAGAGTATTTTTGTGTGTAAGAGAATATTTGCATATACAAATACCTGTCTGTATATATAGCTAATGGCTGTTGTACGTGCACTAGCAGTTGAAGACATTTTGGAGCATGATTTTGCATAATAACTTTGCTATACAAAGTTACTTTGCTATACAACCCCATAGCATAATGGATCTCGCAATCTAGAATGGGACTTCTAGGCACTGTCTAATGCAAGTTAATAATGATGATGTTTTTAAAGGCACATACTGGGATCTGAGTGGATCTGGGATATTTCAAGGAAAGGGGGGTATGTCTACACTACCCCCCTAGTTCGAACTAGGGGGGTAATGTATGCATACCGAACTTGCTAAGGAAGCCCGGGACTTGAATTTCCCGGGCTTCATTACCATAAAGCCGGCGCCGCCATTTTTAAAAGCCGGCTAGTGCGAACCCCGTGCCGCGCGGCTACACGCGGCACGGACTAGATAGTTCGGATTAGGCTTCCTAATCCGGCTTTTAAAAATGGCGGCGCCGGCTTTATGCTAATGAAGCCCGGGAACTTCAAATCCCGGGCTTCCTTAGCAAGTTCGGTATGCATACATTACCCCCCTAGTTCGAACTAGGGGGGTAATGTATGCATACCGAACTTGCTAAGGAAGCCCGGGACTTGAATTTCCCGGGCTTCATTACCATAAAGCCGGCGCCGCCATTTTTAAAAGCCGGCTAGTGCGAACCCCGTGCCGCGCGGCTACACGCGGCACGGACTAGATAGTTCGGATTAGGCTTCCTAATCCGGCTTTTAAAAATGGCGGCGCCGGCTTTATGCTAATGAAGCCCGGGAACTTCAAATCCCGGGCTTCCTTAGCAAGTTCGGTATGCATACATTACCCCCCTAGTTCGAACTAGGGGGGTAATGTATGCATACCGAACTTGCTAAGGAAGCCCGGGACTTGAATTTCCCGGGCTTCATTACCATAAAGCCGGCGCCGCCATTTTTAAAAGCCGGCTAGTGCGAACCCCGTGCCGCGCGGCTACACGCGGCACGGACTAGATAGTTCGGATTAGGCTTCCTAATCCGGCTTTTAAAAATGGCGGCGCCGGCTTTATGCTAATGAAGCCCGGGAACTTCAAATCCCGGGCTTCCTTAGCAAGTTCGGTATGCATACATTACCCCCCTAGTTCGAACTAGGGGGGTAATGTATGCATACCGAACTTGCTAAGGAAGCCCGGGACTTGAATTTCCCGGGCTTCATTACCATAAAGCCGGCGCCGCCATTTTTAAAAGCCGGCTAGTGCGAACCCCGTGCCGCGCGGCTACACGCGGCACGGACTAGATAGTTCGGATTAGGCTTCCTAATCCGGCTTTTAAAAATGGCGGCGCCGGCTTTATGCTAATGAAGCCCGGGAACTTCAAATCCCGGGCTTCCTTAGCAAGTTCGGTATGCATACATTACCCCCCTAGTTCGAACTAGGGGGGTAATGTATGCATACCGAACTTGCTAAGGAAGCCCGGGACTTGAATTTCCCGGGCTTCATTACCATAAAGCCGGCGCCGCCATTTTTAAAAGCCGGCTAGTGCGAACCCCGTGCCGCGCGGCTACACGCGGCACGGACTAGATAGTTCGGATTAGGCTTCCTAATCCGGCTTTTAAAAATGGCGGCGCCGGCTTTATGCTAATGAAGCCCGGGAACTTCAAATCCCGGGCTTCCTTAGCAAGTTCGGTATGCATACATTACCCCCCTAGTTCGAACTAGGGGGGTAGTGTAGACATACCCTGAGAGAGGACAACCTCACAAAACCTCATTTGTAGTTTGTCAAATGAATTTCTAAATTTAGTCATGAACAACATATTTCTCTGTGAAACATGACTTCTGTACTACAACTTATGTTAAAGAGAAGTTTTGTAGTCATCTAAAAAGAAAATCCCATATATCTCCTAACAGCCACAAATCATACATAAAAAGCAATAGCTACTGTACCTGTATTTATACATGTGCTTCTGCATTCTAACCATTAGAGGGGTTCTGTTTTTAACAGGCCATGGTTCCTCATCATACAGCTGTTTGTTTTTCTGAAAATATTGGGAATCAAATTCTTTACGGAAGGTGCAAGTCAGGGGAAGATGATCCGTATCAGTTGAGTATATGTACATTTTTTCAGGCAATGTATAACTGTCATCTAAAAGGAGACGTTTGTAGTTGTAGAAAAAAGGATCCTTCTCCTCATTCAGATCCCAAAATGGAATTTCCTTCTCAGAAAGATATTCTTTCTGGGAAACAGCATCAAAATAGCTGGAGTGTTCTGGATAATCCAAGAAAGAAAAATGGCCAGGTATTTCAGTACACAGTTTAATTATGTGATTCCTCAGCCACAAGCCAACATCTTGACAGCCATCTGGATAGCTCTGAACTCCTGGTCCAAACCGCTCATCTGCCTTGTATAGTCCCTAAGGAGAGCAAGAGGTTAACTAGGGTTGGAGAAGATATAGAAGTCATAGACACTACACAGTTGACAGCCTGGCTTCCTTTTAAAAGGTACAAAACCAAATGTCCTTGGTTTGACCTTACTGCTCCAGTGTCAACTGCCTAGTAATACATAGAACAATCCAAGCGCCTGACAAGCTGCTCAACTATTCTGTCGTCACTTTGACTGGTCATGCTGGAGCTGCACTAACTGCAATGAATGAAACCCAGTGGCTGAAGTGTAAGGTAGGTTCACTCCAGGTTTGACTAGGACCATTCAGACTCTCATTCTCTGTTCAGCAACCTTATACAGCTCAATCTTTGTTCTTACAAGAGTCAGCAGAAAGCTATTTTCAATCTATTGCACCTTGGGTTGTTTAATCGTTCATAGGAAACTATTCACTTTTGAGTTAAACACACTTGTACAAATTAAGATCAGTTTATGATATGAGAGTGTAACCGTGTACAGGGCCGGCCCGAGCCATTTTGGTGGCCCAGGCGCGCGGTGCTGCCCCCGGGCACACGGCGCATGCACGGCCCCCTAGGGTGCACAGGCCCACCCCATGGGGCACATGGTGCATGCGCTGCCCAGCCACGGCCACTGGCGTGCAGCCCAGGGCTTGCTCCAGGGGCGCACGGCGCATACACTTCTCAGCCTGGCCCAGCCACCGCTGCTGGCATGCAGCCCGGGGCAGGCCACACCTGGCCATGCATGGCCCCGCAGCCGTGGGGGGAAGGGCGCTGCTGGCTGGCGCCATGGGGATGGGGGGGGCCAGCACTGTGGGATGTCACGCCACGCGCCCCTTACAGCTGCCATTAGGCGCCCCCCCATCGGTTGGCATCCCAGGCAGCTGCCTGGCTCGCCCACCCCTTAGTCCGGCCCTGACCGTGTACAACGGTTAACAGATGAGCCCATGGTTAAGCTTCACAGTTACATGCAGGCTCCCGGTACACATGGACAGCTGGCTTAGGAGAGCCACCTCCCCTTCCTCCACCCCACATATAAGTGTGTAATAGCTGACATTTTCAGTGGTTACATGGTTACTTCAAGGCATTTTAACATCCCTAGTTTGTGGGCAATCTGGACAGAAGGGATCAATTTGACTTCAAGGAATTTTAACATCCCTAGTTTGCGGGCAATCTGGACAGAAGGGATCAATTTGACTGCATTGTTTACAGTAAGTAGTTCAACCACCTCTAGTAGAGTGAACCAGGCTTGAAAAATTTCAGTTATTTGAAACTTTGCTCCCCTCAAGTCTATTCAGAACATTGTTGCTAAAGTCAGCTTTCTGGCTTATCACCCAGACCAAATCAACCCCCTCTCTGAGCTCTCTTTTGACCTCCAAACTCTCGCTTCTTAGGTCAGAATCCTTAACTGATGTAAAATAAACATAACTTCATTGATTTTAGTGGAGCTACACTGATTGACAGCAGTTTGGGATCGGGCCCTTGTCTTTCACTATAAGGTCCTTCACAACACAGCCTTACATCAGCTGAGCTAACTTATCGTGCCACTGATCCCTCAGGGTATGTCTACACTACAAAGTTAATTCAAACTAACAGCCGTTAGGGATCTGGGACTGAGGTTGGGTGCAGAATTGAGCTCAGGGTAGAGAACTGGGGGTGCAGAAGGGGCTATGGGGTCTGATAGGGAGTTTGGGTGAAGGAGGGGATTGGGATGCAGGGTCCAGGAGGGTGTCTGGGTTCAGGAAAGGATTCTGACATGGGGAAGGGATGTAGGAGGGAGTACAGGGTCTGGGAAAGAGGTGGAGTTTGGGTGGTGATCTGCGGCAGGGAGGTGGGGTGCAGGAGGGGGTAGGGTGCCAGATGCAGGCTCTGGCCAGGAGGTGCTTACTCAGCCAACAGCCCAGTGGGATCCTTAGGCAGTCTCCCTGCCTACCTCACCCCCACACATTGCTCCTAGCGACTGGCTGCTCCATGTGCTTCTCTGCACTGCGCGCACAAGTGGGGAAGAGACTTTATGCACTGCCCCCACCCCCAGCACAATCACCACGGCTTGAGCTCAATGATTGGCTGGGGGAGGGAGCAGCACACCAAGTCTCTCTCTCCCTTGGCAGAGACACATGGAACAGCCTGCCGCCTTGAGCATCCTAGGGCTACGACAGGCAGGGAGCCTGCCTGAGGGTCCTGGCAGGGCAGGCTGTAGGTTGCATTTTGCCCTTCCAAGCGTGGTGAATTCTTCTCTGGATTCAATTGCTTGTGTGTTGTATCCCCTGCCTTTGATCTGTTTGTGCCTTGAGGGCAAGTTTTCTCTCTCTCAGCAGGAGCCCCGCTCTCGACTGGGTCTCTACTAATAAAAGATGACCAGGCATTTGTTAAGCTGACTAGTAGAGATGAAAAATACTAATGCTCTTTCTCTCGCACACGTGCCCAGATACACCACCTACATTTCAAAGGCTTGTCCATTGTGTAAGACTGACAGTTGATTTTCTAGTTTATAAACTTCAGCTGGCTCCTGTGTTTTTGGGATACCTTCTTTCCCTGGTTGGCTTCACTCCTCTTTTGTTCCTTCTGTGCATCTTGCTGCACTGTTTCCACTCTCCTTTCCTTCCTTCCCATCCTTCTTCTATACCTTCCCCTTTCCTTCCCAACACTGGGTTCAGTCCTTGCCCCTTTACATCTGTTTTGTGTCACCTTCCTCAAATCTCTCTCTGCTCTCAATCACCCATTTGCCCATTCTGCCCCCACCTCCTGCCTCTCCACTGGCTTCTCACTTCCAACCCCCACCCCTGGCTACCTGTTCCAGCACCCTCAGCTTCTGCTCCAGCCACTCTCAACATGAAAACAAAAACAATCCAGGCAACTCCCCAGCTCATCGCTCTTCTTCTCATTTTCTCCCATCAGCTCTTTGCTGCCTGGTTGCTGGAGTGTAACACCAGGGCCACTCTGCTTCCAAGCTTATTATTACCTTCAGGGCATGTCTACACAGCTCATGACAAGCTGTGACGGGGCGAAGAACCCCCGTCACTGGGTCAGAGCCGCGGCCGAGCGGTGCAGCCGGCTGACTCCACCCCCGCGACGATTCGGCACATGCTCAAGCCGGGTGCCGGGCGTTTTAAACGCCAGCAGCTGGGAGAGCAGGGGGGAGGAAGGAGGAGTCGGGCTTGCCCGATAGAAGGGGGAACGTTCCCCCACCCCGTCACCGACCGCGGATGAGCAGGTCGGGAGTGGCCCAGAAGGGGCCGAGCCTAGGAGGGCAATGCACCTGCCCCCAGCGACAGCGGAACTGCCCTGGCGCTGGAAGGATTCCAGAGCCGTACCAGTGGTGCCAGACCAGAGGAGAGACAGCTCTGGGAAGGTGCCACAAACATTGAGTCCAGGTGCGGGTAGGAAGAGGCCCAGGGCGAGCCAAGACCCCGAGTGGTTGCTGGTCGCTGGTCTTCCCCCACCAGCCAGTCGTCCCTACCTTAAGGGCCCTGGGCCGGGACCCGAAGGAGTGGGAGGGCCCAAGTCTCCCTACCCCCATCCCATCGAGCTGAGAGGCAGAGCCTGTGCAGACAGGCAAGGTATGGTGCACGCCAGGTGTATCAGGCCAAACTGAGGACCATGGGGTGGCCAAAGGTGGCCAGGGGTTAGGACTACAGAAATAAGGAAGGAAAGACCAAAGAATGGGACCAGAGACCGCCCGTAACCTCGGAGCAAACCCTATTAAGACAGGAGGTCGCCCAGGAACGGGGATTGCGGGTAAAAGGACATTGGCTCTGCAGTCCCGATCCTCTCCCCACCCCAGGGCTAGAGAAAAGTGGGAATCGGATCACACCAGGTC